ATTTGAACACTAAATTTTTCCCGGTCTTCGAAGTCACAAATTTTCATATATAAGCTGAATACTATCGTATATAACATCAGAAAAATATAAACCGCATAAAAAACGAAAGGAAAAGTCTTTACGACGTCTACGTATACTTAAGTAAACAGGTTTGAAATTACAAGTTTCTTTAACATTTTGTTGACATTTCATTTATTTAGCTCAAGCATGGCAACGGGAGAATGGCGAGATTAAGCATTTTCGCAAAACTCTCATTAAAGAATAAGCACATTGAGTAAATAGTACTACAAGCTTATCTTCAAAAGGTCGGTCAAAGTAAAGAAAAATGAAATAATTTGCTGCCTTATTCCATTGTCTTCGTTGCTTGAGCACTATCATTACATTTGAGACAAAAAATTTAAAAAAAATGTTTCTTTCGTTAAGCAAAGTTTCAACAGCCATTTGGGATAAATGGGATAAACCTTAATTTTATTTTCAATAAAAAATTATTTGTCGAACACGCGCCAAATATGTGTATATTTGTTCAAGAAAAGCTGATCCAACGCAGATATTGATGGACTTGAGTTTCGCAAGTGCTCGTCTTTTGGTATTCCTGCTGCCAAGAAAATTAAAGAGAAAGTAGTTCGAGTATTTATTTTTGACGAACGTTTTATTCGAAACCAAAAGTAATCACTTCGGAATCATGTCTACATAAATTGCTGCACCCAAAAGAATACCAACAAGCAATTTTTTGCAGATGGACACCTAAAACACGGCAGTCGATATTTTCAACGAGCAAATTGGCGAGCAAAACGAAAGGATCGTCAATATTTCATATATCTATATAAACAATATACATAATATAAAACGTATTCTTCTCAATCTTTATGTGGAAGGCATGAGTACGGTCGTAAAATCACTCCTGTCCCTGCTGTCTGTCACGTCATGTTAAAGTATCAAGTAAGTCAGCCCTTAAACAAAAGTTGTTAATATTTGCTGTTTTAAACGAAAACCACCGCTTGACAACATCCGTTTAATTATTTAATCCACATAGCAAGTCCCTCTTTGTGTCCGCAACACCACAGGTCATCTTATAATAGCATATTCAATGTAATCTGTGCGTACAATATTTTCCAAGGTCTCTATAATTGCATAACATATGCCTACCGTACAAACTTAACCTAAGATAGTAGCAGATAAACTTTCGGTGTAAATTTAATTTGCAAAAATTGAAAAAGCTTTCATTATATATATATAAGTTTTTTTAATTTTAAATCAAGGCATAAATGTTTCTAATTGTACTAATACACAATACATACACACATACTCCTAATATTATCGTTGGTCGACGTTGAGTGCTTGAACGCATTTGTCTTTTAATCAACAAAGAAAAAAAAAATAAGTATACGTTTTTTCCTACATTTTTTTTTTTTTTTTTTGTGTTGTGCTTTTATCGTTTCATTATCTACAATTTTCTTTACTCGAATAAAGAGTTTAATAGACGTGTGGAAATGTACCTGAATTGGTTAAATAAGAAAAGAAAAGAGTAAGAAGTGCAGTCCGATTAATCAAACGGGCGTGATCCAAACCCGTAAAACTATTACTGCATTTATATTGATTTGCTGGCAGCAAGACATTATAAACAGACCCACACCTGACTGAACAGGTGCATGGTGGTGACCACCGGCTATGTAAAATGTGTTGAATAAAGTATGTACATAAAAAATGTACATAAGTACGGATATTGCGATTGACATTGGCACTTGGATCGTACAATTCATTATTGATAGATAATTACAAAGTAGGGGCAGTTAGCCAGCTAGCTAGCTATTCAATCAATGGCTTGCAGAAACACCTCTGGAAAGTTAAGCATTAATTCATCCATTTCATATATATATATATGTGCGATTGTCAGATTTCAAGTCGATTTATTTCTTTCAAGAAAATGCTCTTTCTGTTGTATTAATGCAGTGTTAAAATTTCCTTTATATCGACAAAAGTACGTACACAAATGAGCGAATAAACCTGTACATGATGTCGGCAGTGATTTGATACTTGAAACTTGTTTACTTGTTTTAATATTCTACTGCAAATGAAAAACTGCGTATAATTACTTTAGAGACTTATGACGTATGGGCCACCATTAGTTTTTGGTAATAAACACTCTCTCTCTGTCGGAAAGTCGATATGATTATTTCAATTTAACTTCCATTCATTTATTAAAAATGCCTTTCTTAACGATGCTAATATGCTGTTCAAACGACCAACAACATTTTCTATAAGTGTGTGCGCGAAGCTGCATTAGAGCAAATTTATGTAAACATTTTCTCAAAAAAATTTAAAAATTAATTTTCATCTGATATGCACAATCATTAGGTTTATTACTCGGTTGATTTAAGTTGACAGTTGTCGCCTCTGCGGAAAATGGCAAGAACGTGCCACGCGTATGCGTCTTATTTTGATAGCATAAATGAAGTTTGGAAATTTGTGAAGCCCAGTTAAAACATTGATCTCATCTTGCAAAAAATTACTTAGGATTGATCTTGTGTATCAGACGTTAATCTGAAATGTAGTACAAATTATTTGTAAAAAAAAAAATAGGTAGACCTTTTATATAAGTGTGGTTTCAGTGACGATGCAGTTTCAATGTGAAAACGTATTCTTGTGTAAGTTTTGTGGATGAGATGAATATTTAAGGCAAGTACAACGTTCTTATCCGTTGCAATTAAGTCCAATGAGCTTGGATACGCAAAATTTTCTTCAGATAGAGCAAAAAATATGCACTGTTTTTTTTTTTTTTATTAAGAGAGCAATGATGTTTTGCGAGAGAACGTAGGCTACTTGTTTTTAAAATTATTAATTAAATACCAATCAATTCACTAAAATGATTTTTCTTATATATATGTTTGCAAACTTGTTGATGTGCGCGTATGCTCAGAACGGCTTCGGATAGACCCTTCTTACATTCTAGCAATCTTGTCTGCCCGTCATAAAATAACTATTTCAAAATAATCCAATTTCGATAGTCCATGAGCTAAAATACTTTAATCACAAGAGTCGAATAAATGCCATATCGGGTCGAAAATCGGGCACAGTAAACCAGTCATACATTGTTATTAATATAAAGTCTAAGGTTGGTTTACGGTTCCCCTTATCGAGCTGGATCGATTTTCCATTTTAAGTTGATGGTATTCGATAGCGTGTCAATGATTGGTCGATATTGAGATGTAAAGTTTCTTGTTTGCGCTTGAGAACGAGGTACGATTGAATTACGAATACGAATAACATTAGCTCGAAGAAAAGCGACAAAGTGAATTTTCTAAAGGGTCGTATAACACAATACGAAAAAAAAAATTGCTAGCTTCGGCTATCCTTTAAGAGCACTTTCAAGGAAACTAAGTTGTTAGCATCACAGATTGACCACGAAGTAACCAAAACTGTTGTGATTACATATGCACTCTGATCGCACTAAAAGGCTAAATTCAGTAAGTAAGTGTCAGTAAGTTTGGATATCAAAAGAATCTGGATTAAATAAGTTATGACATAAATTGAAAAACGGCCAAAAGCTTCAAGAGCATTACATTGTGAGTCGGAGACAGTTTGCTAGACTAAAGCATTGAAAACGCAAACTTTTACTAAAAAAGATCTTTTCTTACTGTAGCCGTATTATGGCGTTTGCGCTCACTTTCTTATCGTAAGAGAAAACAATATTTTCATCTAATAATTTTGTGGATATGTATCAAATTCGCTGTTTTGGAACAATTGTCTCCCCTCCTTTTTCTCCCACGCAATCAAACTCTTGAACATCAATTTGATTATAAAACAAGTGAAAGCCTTATAATCGGACAAGGCCTACTATTAGATACCCTGTACTACATCGCCTAATAAAATTATTCATTCGTTTTGGTAATAATGAGCGAAAAGTAACACATTATTTTCATGCAAAGCCATACTTTTCATGAGAGCCCGATGGTAACCAAATAATCGACTTACAGGGTTCAAATTCAGTGAGGTTGATTTCTATATCAATTTACTTCTTTTTTTTTTATACGAAGATTCAGTTTCCGCAGGAAAGGTTATACGAGAGGGGATGCAAAAAGTTTCACTGGCCGGTCGGAAGTGTGTGTGTGTGCAGGGTGTAACAACGTTTTTAAGTTACGAAAATCAGGGACGTTCTTGTGATCTGGCCCCAGAATATTTTTACTTCGACAGCTAAAGTGTTGATGGTAAGGACTAATCTATAACCAGGCTTAATATATCCATATATCCTCTATACTAGTTGCTATTGATCTACAGGTAACATATAATGATCTAAAATTAGTTACTTAACGCTATACTTCGTACGGCCTAAATTCGCATTAAAGAGAGTAATGGAAATAAGCGGCCTTATAAAGTATTCAAATTTCTTATTTCTGTTCTTATTAGGCCGTCAAAGGGTGAATAGAAACTCGATATTTGGCATATAACTTTTTCATTGATTATAATTGTTTGCCCTCAACAACTGGGCACAGAGAAGAAAGAAAGGAAAAAATTGGTTTTAGGGGATATATATCGCAAAGCCATTTAAAAGTTCCCGCGCAAATATGAAATCAACCAATGGGCAAGATAGTTTCGCGACTCTTCAGGGAGTTCATATGAACTTCGTATGAACACACGGGCATAACCTTATGCATACATATATACACATTTCTTCTTCTATTTAAAGCTTATACCATTACGCTTGGCAGATGGTGATATTTGTATATCATATTCTTTTTTTACGACTTCATACTACTTACACAGTTTAGGTTGAAGCGAAAGCTCGCCACAAAGCGCACTAAAGCAATCTCACTTAACCAGTTTAACAAGCATAAAATACAAAACAAAATGGAAAAAATTAGAGATCTAAAAATAAACACATTTAAATCATAAAAGTAAACGATCTGCCGTGATCAGGTGAAGTATTTAAAATGAGTTTTATTGCCAATAATGCGTTAATAAATTTTTAACCTTTTGTTTTTTTTTTTTTTTTCAATTTTCAGATGGCGATAATCACACATTTGTGTTGGCCTCGTACAAGAAGGTAAGCTTCGAATAATTTTCTTCTGGTAGCATCTTTTCCTTGACATGAATCGGAAGAAGGAATTTTAATAGATAATAAATGAGCAAAACGAACAATTTTTGATAGCTAACAGCTTGGGCTGCCTGTAAAAACGCAAAATTTTAACAGACCCGCACGCCACCAAATGTATATTTATGGTTAAATGAGCTTTGTTGGGTTGTGTTTTATACACATTTAGATAAGCTCCGGTATATATGTGCCGTGGACTCTCATTGCTTGCTTGTATGTTAAGGTGTGCATGAAAACTTCAAAAAACATGTGCATATAAAAATCTATTGAATAATTTTTATAATTTTTTTTTTTTCTTAATTACTCACCAAAAAGGTTGGTTGAAATTGTTGAGCCCGACTGATTCATTTTATTTGATTGAAAGCAACTATGCGTAACGCCAGTTATTCTTAATAGCGTGGGATTGCTTTGTTATTAGTCTTTCTTCTTTTTTTTTCTCTTTGCTTTGCATGCGGAAATGCGCAATTATATGTGCGTTGATTACACAAAATATCGATATACAAATGTTTATCGTTAACTTGAGTAGGCATTTGGTTGCGAGCAGTTGCCAGCAAATTATTGGAGACGCTATTATGTGACATTATGACAAATCGAAAGAAATCATTACAGAAATATGAGTAACTGATGAGGTATTCAAATTTCATCAATAAAATCGGCGTTCACATGAAAAGTGGTTTCGTAATAATTTCAGGTTGCGATTTCCTTATCTTTAGAGAAGAGTTAGTGCATTATTAACTATTTACGGGGGAGTAGGGAAGACACACTTACGCACGTTGTGCCCATGCATTGCATTATGAATGTGTAGTTTAGTAAATGCGTAACAATGCTTTAGTGCCATACATAGGAACTATGGCAGGTTAGATGCAACATTTCTACCGCCTATTGACTGACTCCATTAAAAAACTTGACGGTTCATGTTGCAGAAGAGAAGACTTTGTCAAAAAGTTGTTACGAGCCGACTCGTATAGCAATTGAGCCGCAGACGAATTCAACCAAAGGAGCGCACCGAATTTAGAAAAGTGGAACGAATTTTCGAATTTAGGCCCCTAACATTTTGATAAATGAGAGATAGTGGGCCTGTATCATCAAAGTCCTTCGACCACCTTTTTATAAAGTCCAACGAATATTTTGCTTTATTTATAATTGATTGAAATACCAAGATCTCATCTCCAATATTGTTCCTATTAATTATGTAGGCGTAATCAACGGGAGATGGTCTTTTCCCACTTGGAAGGAATCAGCGACATTAGGTTAATTCTCTACACCAGTATACCAATAATAGTAAATCAGCGAGTAAGAACTTCTACATCGATTGCACTTCGAGTAGAGTGAAATAGCTTAACATAGTCCGCAAATATTAAAGTATTACTGTACTGAATGACACCAGGAAAAATCCATTAGTGGAAAACGATACATTGAAGCTTATGACTTACAGAAAAGGTTAATAAGATACAGCCGATGAAAGAACGAACTAACACAACATCTATATTACATGCAGTCAACCTCTATGGAAATCTTTGAATTTCAAGTATCGTTGGAATTAATTTTGCTAGACGTGATGTGTTCTCAATAAATATGAATTGTGTACCATCTCAGTTTTTCCTGAAGATGTTTACCTTTACCATCCTAGTCAAATGTCATAAACATGAGATTATATTGAGGAAACTCGTGTTTTTAAGTTCTAAACTTACTACGAATGTTATTCCATTTTCGAGGACATTTGAATTCGTCATCGTCGTTTTAGTCAACATAAATAACTAAAGGTGAAGCTTCTTATAAGGTTTAAAAGCATTAGTGGCTGCTGAAGCCCAGCCACGTTCAGGACTAGGAATGCACGCCCGCTTCAATTGGCTTCATATCATGCTATTAAAGTAACATTGTTCCCAGTCGACGAACGGCCTTAGGTTAGGCCTTAAAACCATATTATCTTTTATACTAAGTGCATCACTTCTTGGGTCATGCGAAAAACAAACTTATAAAAAAATCCAATGTTTCCATTGAAAAAAATACTTTACTCAAAACTTTTCTTTTACTGGGTCGTTGCTATGGAATTAGGGGTTCATTCAACTCACCTAAAAATTGTAATTCCTATCTTATATGAACTTTATAGTTACGGCATGTGACCAACTTCTATAAAATATTAAAAAGATAATGACACTCATACATGAAAACTCTCATCTTGCCAAAACTATACTCAACTACACCCAACTAACCAACATACAATACGCACGTAGTCGAAGCAGAACAGTTGCAGTAGAAACTGATATTCGCCTATTTCGCCATCTATTTATTTGTTTGAGCGCTCACTAAGTATCTATATAAAATAATAAAATGAATATGGATTGAAAGAATTGTGGCGGCATAAGCAACACAATTACAAATGTGAATTACACGAAGATATTTAAAGTAAAATAAAAGTTATGTAAGAAAAATTTTAATATAACAACACACTTTTTACTGTTTAGCCAATTACAGTTCGAAACATCTATTCTCTAAAAGTCTAATTTTCTCTCGGTTTAGGTGAGTGTTCGTCGACTGCAAGCTTTCTTCATAGATACCTTTGTAACGTGCACTCTACCCTCCAGGATGCACACTTCCAGGGAATAAATGCTTATTAAAACATACAAAAGGTTTCTCTTGTTCAATGCTGTTGAGATGAGAGGACATGGGTTTCAAAGAATCGTAGTGACCTAAAGATTGCGTCAGTTAATCGTTACTATATAAAATACGTTTTTATAACTGAGTTGATCAGAAGTAGTCACTTTAAGGTCAAATCTCGTTTTATACTTCTCTTTTAAAATTTTCCGATATTTTTTAGAAGTGAGTGTGATTTAGTGTTGAATGAGAAGACGTCAACATTCCATGCTTGTCAAATTAAAAAAGAAATCGGGGAAGAGTTTTCATTCGACAAGAAATTTTTCTCCAAACAAGGAACGTTTTTTTACTTTGTATTAGTTCCGTATTCCTTTGGTAGCGACACATTTTGGCCACCTTGATGCAAATAATTAAGCGCACTCTTGTTACACGAACTGAGTAACCCACATTTCCCTTTTTTTTGTCGAGTTTCCATCGATTGCAATTGAGTGAGTTTTGCAAATCGCTATCACACAATAAAAGCAACATTTATTTGTTATTCGATATATAGTTAGTTATCAAATTTTAAGTTCCGCGTACGATGCGTATAAATACAGGCAGAGTGAGCATATGTGCGGTTTTTAAGTTGCAATCATACGTAGATATCTTTGAAGTTTGTAACACATACATGCATAAGCATGTGGAAATTACATAAATTTATGAAAATATCTGCTAATATTTCCCTCTTATTCTCATGGCCATTATCAATTCCAATTATTTAATTGTAAGGTCGTGCAGACCGGCAATCTTACATAAACATGTGAACGTACCTATATATTGTAAAGTGGCCCTTTTACTCTTTTCACATGTTTACAAAAGCAATGCGATCTACAGAGTCACGTAAACATATTAAACAAAAAAACTGTATTTGCTTTATGGAATTTGCGCACGCAAATAACTTCTCAGCTCGACATTTTCATATCCAAAGCTATTGCAAGCAATGACCATCACCGGGAGCTAATTTCGATTTTTATAACCAATACCAAAGGATAGAGGTATTCATAAACTCATTTTGTCGAAAAGTTTGCAACGCTCAGAAAGAAGCTGTGCAGATCTAAAAAGTGTATACATCCTCTATATCAGCATCAAATTCTGAATCGATTTAGGTTCGTCCGTCTGTGTAATGGGTGTTGCAAACACTCTCCTCTCCGCAAAAATCAAGCCGTCGACATCAAGTTTGGCAGAAACGTTGGAAGTTCTTGCACGCTGGTTGGTATTGAAAATGGGACAAATTAATCGAAGGCCACGCCTACAATACCACATATATCTTTTAAAAGAGATTAAAAAGGTGTTTCATTGCTCGTTAAGCCTAAACTGCAGCAGCTCTATGAGCGACGCTGTAGCACGTGCATTAAAATGGCAATAATTCACCATGTCCACCGAAGGTTATAGCATTTTATAATTTCCTTTTTTCCAATACCTGTACAACGTACAGACACAAGCTCCAACAATCGCATGAAGTATATAAATTCTTGCAGCTAAGCATGTGCGCCCATCCGCGCGCAGCCCTGTAGTGTTTGTGGCAAATATTCTCCCGTTCGCAAAAATGAAAATATCGCCTACAAACTTGCAAAATAAGTTGAAAATTACTGAAACTTTTCAAAGAACACGCTTGCAACGCCCACACGCTGATGTAACAAAAAGAGTGAACACTTTTGCTCTCCTTCTCTCTTGCTCTTGCTTATAAACTACAACAGACACATGATATAAGTTTCCAGAAATTTATTCTACATAAATTAGGGTAGTGGCGATGGGAGTTTTAACATTTTGGCCGGCTCTTATACGCAGTGTTGAGTCATATTTTACCCAATTTCAGTAACCTTAGAATTGGGAGGATGTTAAACAAGTAAGAAGATTATACTCGGCTCTAACCGAATCTTTTATATTCGCCGCCTCGTACTCAAGAAAAGTGAAAAAATATGAAATTATAGTACTTTTTAATATTAAGAGGGAGCGGTCGCCTTTTCTTTTTTTCTCTTAGAACATAGATAAAAATTTGTAACACAGCTTCGTCATAGTTTGTGAACAACGAGCAAAAATTTTCGCGATTAGAATAATGGCATAAATAATACAGTTGATGGAATCACTGGCAACTATAGGCGGCAGCAGCAGAAAGATACGATTCGAGAAGGTTCAGTAATGAGTAGAGTGAGGGGCCTTTAATTCCGATTGCCCCATTTGCTTACTTAATGTTATCGGTGCGCATATCTCCTTCGATGTCGCGAAACATATTTGTGTGTTTTGCTAAAACAAAAGGCGTAAGGCGTAAGGCGTCAAGTACATATGTTTTGGTTTGGCATGTAATTAAACTTCGTAGA